TCAGGCCATATAAACAAGTGCATAAGTATATATGGCTTAAAATGACTGTGTCAACGATATTTATCATGGACTTACATTGTCATTAATAATGCCGCCAACTTGGGCGAGAGGACTGTGAATCGTTAACGGCGCGCTCTCAGGTCGAGATACATACGTATGTACGTGGGGTGAAGTGCACAAATTGCAATTTCTATGCAAATTTATAACAAATAATTACTGACAGCCATATTTCATTAATAATTGCAGCTACAACACACTCTCACTCTTTCGCTCAATCACTGGCCGTGCCGTTCCGTTCCGAGCCGAGACGTATTTTAAAGATAAAATTTGCAAGTGCAACACGGCCAAGTCAAGTGAACTCGGCTCCGCCCGGCTCGGACGCTGGACGCTTGCTACACTGAGGCAATTAAGCTGATGACGTGGATAAAAATCAACAGCAGTCAGGTTGCCATAGCCCATAATTTATAGCCCGCAGCAACCGAGTATATCGGACAGTGAGGAAATTATCTACATATGAATATGTGGCGACACATTATTAAAAGGTTGAGAGTCTGTCGTATAACATGTCTCGTATATGTATATAGTACGTATCGCGGGATGATATACGATTGTTGGCAAGTGCGACCAAGTTTGTAACTATTTATCAGTAATTATAGTGCATACAAAAAATCTAACAGCCGGGCTGCTAATGGCCTTGGGCTGGAATTGACCTAGTCCTAACTGCCTCTAGTAACTGCAGTTACGCAGCCTATATTCTGGAGAAAAAAAAAGCAAAAAATGTAATTAGAAAATCATTAAACTTGATTGAATGACAATTTACAATACTGCACGATCGGGAAATATTATTTAAAATCCAATTTCTTTCGACAATCGCGCGTGCTGAGTGGAGGCCATAAAATCGTGGCATACATATTCGCGGTAAACTCGGACAGAAATTAACATGCAACACGACAGCAACCGATGACAGGAGTCTGAGTCTCACTGTACTGGTGCTGGTGCTGGTCTGGTGTGGTGTGGCGTGGATGGAGTTGAATCAGCGACAAAGTACGTGGAGTGTCAAGCTGCCAGAGAAAATTCCCGGCAAGATTGCACAACAGCATTGTGCTCATATTTAAAATGGCCAGCGATGTTGACCGCCACCGCCACAACCATCGACATCCCAGACCTCCTCCGGTTCTAAAGTATTTCGTGACACACTATAAAAATGTGGGGCATATGCATTTATTTTATTTTAAATTATTTTGTGAGGATTTTTGAGAACTTTTTCCCAGTGGAGTCTCCTGTCAAATGCATCGGTTTGTGGCGGTCCCCGCGCACAAGTCCAAGGCCCATTTGGGGTCCCCAATCCCAGACATTGCGTGAGCATCGTGGCTGCAACTTCAACACCTTCGAAAGGGGCATCATCATTACTATCATCATCGATAAATGCATTTGCAAGCGCATTGCATACAAAACTGTTTGCTGAATTTTTTATTATATGTAATGTTCTCTCTCATGCATATTTAATGTCCACGCATTTTCGACTTGTTCGCCCCGGAGTGTCTGGAGACCCACAAGAATGAAAGATAAAATGCAGTTGCCATTGACTTTGCCACGGCGACCTCAGCTTCGGGATCTCCTTTGGCTCAGCAAACAAGTAGCTGCAGCTTCTGCTTGTGTTGTATCTGCATTTGAGCTTCTGGTTCTTCTGGTAAGCTGTTTTCGCCTTGTTCTTCTCGTGTTGCCGTTGTCAGCCATCAGCCAGGGAGCCAACATCGATTTCAGGTTCTGATTTGGTGTTACTTGGCTTGTTTGGTTAACGGTGGTACTTACTGTTTATTCACAGCAAATTGGCTACAAAAAGTTGTGGCTAAGCTTGATAAGCTAAGCTAAGTATAATAACTAAGGAGGTTACTTAGTTAAACAGGGCTAAGCTAGATGGATGATTCTGTCTATAAACCAATTAAAATCTTTGAAAAGATCCACCGAAACCTATGCCTCGTATGTCACTCAACTGTCTGTCAGTGGGTTCTTTTTCGGATGCAAAGCATTACGACTTGTACTTTCAACATCTCAATGTTGAAAACTCTCACTCCAAGACCGGCATCTCCCTTTATCCATACGAGAGTATGTCTGAATGTGTTCAAGAGACTCATAAATCAAAATGACATGACCAAGTCTCGGCATTAATATTTCAACACCATAAATGCGGCGTCAATTCGCACATGGGAGACTGCTGGTCTGAAGGCTGAGGCGATGTTGACAGGGACATGCACAACGATGTCTGCAAAATTGTGTGCATAATAAATAAATATGAAAGGCCTTCAGTGTCGACCCACCCATCACCTCCACTCTGGGTTCAAAACTCCAATTCCAAAGTGCAGCTCACTTGGGGCATCAAATCAAATCAAGGCAAGCGTCCAAACATGCCACATCATCTGGGACACGAATCACTAAAAACTGAGACACGCTCGACTAATTATGGAAATGTCATCAGACGGCTGATACCCGGAGTTCCTTGTGAGGTCTTCGCCGTACCAGGGAAAAAATACATTAAGTGCGCACAATTTGCTTGCAATGCGTCAACACATGCGACAATTTCAAGCAGCACTTGCATGGTAATTTATTAAACTTGCAATTCTTTTTCTTTTTTGGGAGAGAAGAAATTAAAATTTTTGAGCTGGAAGGGAGAGGTGACGACAGACATTGGTTAAGACAGCCAGCGACGCCTCTGAAGTGACAAAAGTTCAGCTCGTGGGTGGCAAAGTCAGACAAGACGGTGGCGTTGCCTCCATGCACAATGATATATGGTTTTGTCGGCTGTCATTCGGTTTTGAAAATTATTGTTGTGGCCTGCACTTTGGGTTTGGGTGTCTTTTGTTTATACTCTTCAAAGGAGTTGAAATGCTGGGATGACTCTTCTAGAAATTACATGAAATGCTATAGGAGAAAGGTATGGTTAAATAGCTGAGTATAACCATCTTATTGATATACTTTTATTTTATTGATCCTTTTTTCAATATATCCCAATTTTTATGGACCTGGCTAGAGGCACTTGAAAAACTGTGTTTATTGTTCGCCTTCCCAACTTTTCGTGCAAAGTGCTTAGCATTTTCTTTTCTTGATTTGCTTTACTGCTGCTGGTGTTGCTGCTGCAATCGTAAATTTCAATGAATTACGATTTTACCTGCTTTCGCATAGTGCCTGCATGTCTGCATTTTAAATATGCAGTCAACACTTATCACAACCGGGCTACAACAGCAGCAGTCGACGATTTTAATGGCCACCAAGATGGTGGCGGTGACTTAGCAGCAGGATATCACCCGACCGGTACAAGAGTGAGGGGTAACCGTCGTGTATCGAAAAGAACATATATCTTTTGAGCGAGGGGCTTTCTTTTCCAATTGGCTACCTTAACAATTTACATGCTGACCCCCAAACTACCCAAAAAGACAGTCATATTTTATTCGAGGCTACACTCTGCGTTTTCGTTTTCGGTTTTTATGCTTTTATTGCTGGCTCGCATTGTAATATTTTTGTATCTTTTGGCGATTTTTCATCTCCATTATTTTGCAGGAAAAATAAATTTGCAAGCGGTAGAAGAAATATTTTCATGAAATCCCCAACCAATAAATTTTATCCGCCCCCTTTCTCTCCATCTAGGTTGGGTGACAAGTCCAGCTTGGTGGAATGGTTTCGGATGGTGGGTGGTTGGATATGGTATATGGGTATGGTGGGGGTCACTGCCTCCAATGATAAATGGTCGCGGCTAGAGGGAACTATAATGGCCAGCGGAACGGCGGTGGCTTTCACCTGCGATGTGGTATGAAACAAAATAAAACAAAAATTGGAAAAGGTATTGCACAAAGCGAGTGGGGCCAACGAGATCTTCATCCTCGGCTTGTCAAAAGCACTGAACGTGAACATCACTTATATATAAGCTCCATATACCCAATCCAATTCTCATGCCCCTGCCCATATCCTTGCCAATTCCCATTTTCAGTTCCCTTGCTCCGCCTGCCCATAACGCTGCTCCTTTTTGGCCCAGAACGATTCTCGGCTATATGTGGCGAAATGGACATTTATGAAAGAATTATTGATGCCAACGCCAATATGTGTGTGAGTGTAGGAGGTTTATGGCATATTTTTTATGACTCCCATGGAGGGCCAGAGATGGTGACCAGAAAGTCGGAGTCTGAACCATAGACCAGGCCGGGTCAGAGTGTGTTCGGTACCCCCCTCTATCGTCCTGTCCCGCTTGCCTCGAATCGTATAATATAATACAATAAATTGTCAGGTGGGGCGGCTAGCTGTCAAAATGCAAGGGCATAACTCTCTTTCTGCCTCCCTGCTGCCACCGTCTATGGCAAAAACGAAAATTTTAATTTATCGACGCCATATGTGGGCAGTGAGCAGAGGAACTATTGCCAGTCAACTGTGTGTGCCTGCCCCTCAAGTTGCCCCATTTCGCTTGCCAGCCAGCCGCTTCTTGCCACCCCACCCACTACCCACCTCTGGTCGTGCAACTTCTTTTTGGGGAAATATAAAATTTGATTTACTGCCATTCCGTGGGTATATGTGTGTAGCTGTAGCAGTAGCTGTTCCAGTAGCTCGCCTGGTATAATTTAGCGGCAAACGTAACCGAAATGTTATGATTTGTGAGCCAATGGATACGTATACATAGATTTCTCGCCGGCACTGTTTGCCTTTGGGCCATGACTTAAAGCTTTTTAGATATGGTTTTTCGACATCTGGTCTTGTTTTGGTAGGCAACTAACTATTTATGGCAGTTAAGGTTGCACAATAAAAGGCTCTAATCCGTAGAGGCTCAAGTTCCTTTAATTTTATAGTAAAAGTTTAAAAAGAAATAACAACTTGATTTGGTATTTAATTTCCTTTGATTTATTGATTCTTTTGTAGTGACTTAATTGAACATTAAAATGCTGTTCATAATTACACATTTATGTATATGTATGTATAGATTTAATAATAAGCTGTTTATTTATATATATACTTTACAAGAATTTTACAACTTTAAGTTTTTGGACAATCTTTTCATTTCGTTAATTCATAAATCGCTTCACTTGAACCGCTATAATAAATAATATTGTTAAAATTACCATATGCATTTAGTAGCAACCGCATAATAAAACATACACACACACAGGGACGAGCGATGTTGATATATATTGATGGGCTGCACTGTACCACATCGACTACAGACTGTTCGACATTTAATAGCTAGACGCTAGATTCTTAGCCTAATTGTAAACACATTTGTATGTAACTACAGTACATTAGATCACTAGCTTTTCGTTTCACGAGTGAGTCATTGCCGCCGCCGCGAGCCGAGGGACACGCCGACATGCCGGGGACTCCTCAAGAGAAATGATTGGTTTGACTGAAAGCCGATCGCCTCGGCTCATCGGACTACGGGTGCGACGAGCCCATCCGGGGCCCGTATAACGAGTACGGCGCAAAGTACTGGGCCAGAGCCGGGTGTGGCAGGCCGGGCATACCAGGCGGCGCTAGGGACGGCGGCAGCATCGATGGCTTGCCGTACGGATGGTAGCGGGCGGCCGACAGGGGGCTCAGCGGCGGGGTGGGGTACGTACGCTGGAACAATGGGTGGTTGGGCGGAATACCGCCAGCGGCCGCCGCGCTCAGCACCGCATCCGGCACGGAGGCCGTGTGAGTGCGCAGGTGCTGGAACAGATCGTCGGAGGTGCCGAACCGTTTGCCGCAGTAGGCGGCATCGCTGCCGATCCAGGAGCAGACGTACGGCATCTGGGAGGCGGCGGCCAGGGCGGCCAGTTGGGCGTGGTAGGAGGCCGCTGCTGCTGCCGCACTTGACGATCCAGAGCCCTGCGATCCACTTGACTTCCCGCTTCCTCCTGGTCCACCCCCTCCACCGGCTGCCACTTCACACTGCGGGCATCCAGCCGGGCAGGGTTGGCCCGCTGCCTTGTTGATGTAGTGGGGACTGGCTGGGCATCCGGTGCAGTAGGGATCTCGGCACACGTTTGGCGTGGCTGCCATCATCGACGGATCCGTGAGGCCCTTCATCCGGGCGTAGTTCAGATAGGGATTCATGGCCGAGGCCTTGAACATGGGGTGATGGGGTGACATCAATGAGCTGGCGGCCATCAAGTCCATGGAATAGGGACTGCCATAGCCTGTAGGAAGAGAGCATAACAATACTTAATTATTATAATAGTTTGAAATAAAGTTAATCAATCTTTATAAGACTCTTCAGTAATATTGCGTATACGCCCTGTGAAAACATTTGACCGGGTTGTTGTTTAAAACTCTATTTTGAATAAAAAGCTTGTCTTATTGTTGATATCTATAAGCATGTTCTAGAATTCTTGTAATAATATTGTGTTGGAGAATCAGAAATATTTGTTTCAAAATATATGCACCTAATATTACGTATACGCCACGTATACTATGTGACCAACATGTTTTTTTGTTGATTTTTCTTAAAATATGTTGAAAACTTGCTCGAAAAAGTAATGAAAGAATCTACAAAACAACAAGTCCATAAATAAGGATTATTTTTCTGCACTCTTCCTATGCAAGTAAGGCTTCTGCTTGAATGTGGAGCAACATTTATGGCACCTATTCAAGCATAAGTCTTGGCAGCTTCCCTCTTGGAAAAGCTCCTTCCATTCCTACTCTACTGGTATTACGTGGTTTCTTGTGGCACTCACCTGGCGGATAATAGGATGCAGCTGCCACCGCCGCCGAGGCGGATCCTTGCTGACTCGCCGCATGCAGAGCCTTCACATAGCTGGCCTCCTTGGCAGCGGCTAGAGCCGCCTCCTGGAGGCGATTTGAGCTGGCGGTCGCCACTGCAGCTGCTGCAGCTGCCGCTGCACTGGGGCTGTGCATCGAGGCGGACTCTTTGGAATTACTGCGACCGGGGGTGGAGGAGGGCAGGCCGGGGCTGCCGTTGAGCTGTTGGGCGGCGGTGGTGGACCCTCCGGAGGTGGGGGTGCGTCTTAGAGAGCCGGCAGCTGCTGGCGATTCACGCTGGGAGCTAGCACTTTGGTTCGAGTCGCAACGTTGGCCTCCATTTGTCGCCGTTTTGGGGGTTTTGACCCTTTGCCCACTGCTGTTGTTATTGATGTGGCTGCTGCTGTTGCTGTTGCTGCTGCTGGTGAGATTTGTGGCGCCGCAGTCGACAGCTGTGGTGATATTGTTGTTGGGCTCGTAGGGCTTAAAGGTAGTCGGAATCGGCTTGCTGCTATGGGCGGGGGGCAGGGACTGCTGCTGCTCCACGGAGCCGGTGCTGACGCTGGATGAATGACTGCTAACCGGTGAGGATTTATCGCGTGCACCGCCACCATCTGAAGATAACTGGCCGAGGCCGAATCCTCCGGCCGCCTTGTTGGACTGGTGCTGCAGTTGCTTCGTCGACTTCTCGATGTTCGCCGCCAGCAGCTTGGGATTTGTGGTATCCGCCCCGATGGCGCTGCATGTTTGGGCCAATAGCGCCAACGGGCTGCTTTTGTTGTCCAGCTGCGGGGCGGTAGAAAAAAAAGAAAGAAAAATAGAAGGGACAATAAGTATTTAGGTTTTGCAGCGTTTGTCTTCGATATCGTGCGTTTGGCTGGCCGATAAGATCTCGACCTTATTGTCTTCTACTCTACTTTGTTCGGTAAACACTTCACCCCGGCATCTCCCAGCATTGTGTGTGTGTCCAGATCTTAATCTTTCGCAACAAACTGGTGCGATCATGAAATACTCGTACCCAGTTCGCAGCTCTGAGTACCATGTCCTGCCAAAAGGTTCTTTAAACGACATAAATAGCATACCCTACAGCCATAAATATCTGCTACCCAGAACAAAATAAATGGAATTATGAGGCCATTAAAATGTTTGCCAAAAAACGCCTAGGGGGAAACTGAACTACGCCCTGGGGGGTGGTTTCATATTTAACCCCCAAGTGGCAAGTAATTATGGAAAATTTCAAGTACTATTGGACCAATTAAAAACGCTGCCAAGATCCACGCAAATCGGATAATGCTATCAACCAGCAAGCCCCCTTCTCTTAGTTCTGTTTCTATTTTCTATAATCATAGCCAGAACTCATGCTAATAGTATTTAATCAGCCTTCATCGGATTTTATGACCATTTCTAGATGAGCAATTAGGCTAATGAAATTATTAGCCGTTTGTGATATACGGCGCAATAAACAAGTGCCAAAGTAGTGGCTCATGGCAGGGGTGTGGGCCAAAAGGGGTTGGACAAATTATAACAGTCATCGATGGGTAACAAAAATTCTCCAACTACGACGCTGCTTCATAATACTTAATGGCTTTATGCTTATTGCTTATCAATTAAGGACCAAATACTACGAGAATTGGGGCACTTGTGGGAATCCAAATATAGAGTCTGCTTATACAATCGATCGTATATATCAGCATTTAGGGTCCGGGGAGTGAAAATTAGCGATTGAGTAGTACAAAGGAGAACTGACCGAATGCCGACACAACCTGAAGTGCAGTCGTAGTTAAACTTATGGGCTTGTGTACATAAACGAAATGAATATGGCCCACTCACAGTTTGAGCCATAAACACGGAACACGGTTTTTTGCAATAAAATCCATTTCGCCGCATGCCATAAATTATGGCTTCAAGGAACGAGAAGAAGAAGAACCGGCCACTGAGGCACAAATGGCTAAAAAAAACAAAAAAAGACGGCGAAAAGGGAAAACCCGAAAACTGAGGCGGGTTGTGGAACGTTCATAACTCATCGCACACACACACCACACTACGAGAATAATGACGTATACTTAATGTGAGTGTGCTGGGTGTACGGGGTATGCGAGGCATAAGGAGTATGTATGGGTGCGTAATTACGCTTATACCCAACTGGCGCAAGTCATAAACTACAAAATATTGAAGCTTTTATAACACTCAATGGGCCGCCATAAATTATTATGATACTATTGTAAAAATGGCAAAATTTCTTATCGGTACTTAAGAGCACTTTGGATGCCCTATACTAAGGGTATTTCCGACTAGCGGCTATACGGCTTGTTTGTGTTGATTATTTTTTCACAAATGAAAATATTTACTAGACAAGCAACACAGACACAGGGGTTTCCAGCCAATTGTCTAAATAATCTTTATTTATTTGCTTAACGTTTGTTCGAAATTCGAATACACCCGAAGCCCGAGACGCACAGAGAGCCTAGAACACCCACTCCCCCAACATCAACACTTTATTAATTATTGGCGCAAATAGTGGAGGGGCGGAGAGGCCTCACCCCATTTTGTCTCGTTTTTAGCACAATTAGTCATAATTTATTATCATGTTGATAAAGTTTCCGTATTGATTTTGGGTATTACGCATATTCGTGTCGCACATTCTGTGTTTTGTGTGTGATTTAGTTTATGCCCAGAGATAGAATGGGCCATATGGGGCTTGTTTAATTTACGATTGGGCAATAGCTCCATAAAGCGAGTATTTATATACGAAAACGTCAATTGACTTGTGCGAATTATTACTCTCTGTCTGAGTTATAACCCTGTGCCTGACCTGCGACCAGTGGTAATTGAGGTCAAGTTAAGGGAGGGAGGTAATTATACAACTAAACTATTATTGTATAGCAACCCTAAAGTGTTTGTTGTGTGGTCTTAAACAGTTTTTAATGAAAACAACAATCCCTCCTATACATATATTTGTGTTTTTTAACACGTAATTAGCACCTGAAGCCGAATGGAAAATCTAAGACGAAAAAAATGTACATATTATGTTTGAATTATGAATATTGTGTTAATTAAAATGTTACACCTTGTGAAAAATGTGTACAGAAAACATTAACACTAACAAGGTAAACAAACAACAACCTGTAGTCATGGCTGGACAAGTTGAAAATGAAACCTCAACTGAAATGCATTTAGTTATGCCTTTTGCACAATCGAGTCACAGCCGCTTGTTAAATGCGTATAATTTAATTAGACACTTGAAACTAAACACACTCAGCTGTCATGGTTTGATTTAATTTTATTATCGTTTTTATGCATTTACTTTTTATGCTAATTGGGTTTTAAAGGTGTGTTAAGTCGGGTCTCGGGTATACTACTACTGATTTATTTCAAACTAGAACGCCCAAAACGAGCTCTATATCATTTTTGCAAATACATGTATGTTTTGTGTTATTTTTAAAGCATTAACAGCACACATCTAACTTCTGTGTAGAGGGGATCTACTTATAAGCTACCAATTATCACGGCTGTCAAAATGATCCGTAAAGATCGCAGCTTTAACAACCATTCATCATCAAGTTATACGAGTTATTTGCCCATCATTTCACACAAATAAATCCCCCAAGTAGTGTACATATTAACAGGAAAAGCTAAATGTGTCAAACTGGGTATTTTATATAGCCCTAAGCTACTTCCCTCACCCTCCCTCAAAAGTACACTCGACTTTTTGAGACCTGTATGACACATCGCATACTTTGGCCATCAACATATGTGGACTTGAAACAATAAAAAGCTCTGGCTCTGGCACAGAAAAGTAAATAAGTGTTAAGTAAATTATAAACAAATAAAAGCGGCACGCGAAACTTTGTGGCTGAAGGGTAAGAGTGGAGCTCATCACACTCCATGGGCACTTGGAGGGCCCTTCAAAAATCATACTTTATGTTAATATGACAAACAAAATGTTCAAAAATTTGTTTTGTTGTTTCGGTTTTTTGAGAAACAGTGACAGCAGTTCCATCAGACCTGGGAATGATTTAAAATGGAGGGAGGTGGTCCTTAAAAAATAGTGTGCCCTATTAGCAAATGTGTAAGTCGAGCTTAAGAAATTTTAATGCGTCATATCATTTTAAAAAATAAACTTTTCGGTTAATTTTTTGAAAATATTTTATACGTTAGTTTTTTCTTGTGTAGCGACCACTAATCCAAAAAAAGATCCATTGTTTGCTTAACTGACTTTCAAATTGAAACTTTTGATAGCTTGACGGTGTTTTGTGGCTTTTGAAGCTTGCCGAATCAATAAATATTTGATTTGCTTGAATGTAAGATGAAAAAAAAAAACAGAAAAAACTTTAAAGACAGAGAGTACTTGAACTGGGCTCTTTATAAAATCCAGGAGTTGAAAAGTTTCTTTATGTTATTTGATTTATTTTCAAGTAAGCAGCAATAAAAGTTTATCTATAATGGATTTTAAAATCTATCTCGGGGCATCCCTTCCTTTTTTGTATCACATTTTGCTGGCAATATTTTGTAAAATGCAATTTTCAAAGATTCTGCGGCTCAGGAAATTTCTTTCCCCTTCCTACATTCGCACACATTACGATACAGAAATAGCTGCTATAAATATGAATTACAGGATAAGCATAAAAAGCGGAAATTGTGTGCCGCCGCCATCGTCGACGACGACGTTTTGCATAAGCCAGCGGCAGGCAACGTCTTCACACCAGACCTTTTACCCAAAAACCCACCCAGTGCCAATCCCCTGACTCAGTTTTTTTAAGACGCCTTTGCAGTTTTGTTGGGAATTATAAAATAAGCGATAAAAATGGTATAAAACTTTATGCAGACTTTGTAGTCTCATCTCTTTCTTATTTTGGCTCCGCATTTCCTTCCCGTTCAGAGCAGACCAGACCAGACTTGAGGGTGCGGGTCCTCCTCGGTCGTTATACATATTATGCATGTATATTATATCATTCCGGCAGTTAACACCTTTTTGTACACACTCACTTATATTCGTATTCGGTTTTTTTCTTTGGGGCGATAATAAATTTTCGCTTGCTTGGGCAAAAAGGAGAAACAAATATAAATGAAAATAAGAAATTTGCATAAATGGCTATAAAAATATTAAGAGCGGTGAGTCCAAGTTGAATTAAATGATTTATTTAGGGAGATGTGGGTAGAAGAATATTAGAATTTGGTGAAAGTTTAACAGAAGCCATATTTGAAAACACAATACTGCAAAGACTGATCTAAGAGCTTTGAGGAAAAATGAGGTGGGGTAATCTGTATACCTCCATTTACCCTTCCATAGACCAACCGCAACTGCAATTCAATATGCCTGTTGGTTTATTTTCAGCCGGCATGGCAATAAGAGAAACACAAAACGCTGTCACATTAACTGTCAACTACTGCAGAACTGACACTTGTCATATTGACAAGTGACAGCGTCATTTGACTGTCAAACTCGGGCCAAGAGAGCGAAACCGAGCGGAGGACAAAGCAGCAATGGCGGTGGCGGTGTCGGTGGTGGTGGTGGTGGCGGCGGTGAACAAACAACAAATAAAACTGAGACGAGACCCGACGAGGCCATCCCTGGCACACTCGACTGTATGGCATGTGGCAATGCCTGGCATAGAGTTGCCACTTAATTTGACACAACACACACACAAACACACACAGTGGCAGAGGGATATACAGAGGCAGTTGAAGTGCACTTGGCGTTAGACAATGTTGCAATTTTAGACGTTGCATGAGTCCCCAACTGTCAGCCATATCATTGCAATTGTCACAGTTGCTTGTTGCTGTTG